TTCCTTCCTTCCTTCCTTCCTTCCTTCCTTCCTTCCTTCCTTCCTTCTGATTGGTGGTTTACTCCATCTCTGCCTCCTGAAAGTGTTCTTGACATAGAGGGGGCTTTTGGTTTCACATTTCTGTGTTCCGGTGAGGTTTAGACATTTTCCTTTGCTTTTAAAACGGAACTTTGGACCACTCTTTGTGGAGAGACAAGGCACAACTGTACAGAGTCCTCCTCCATTAAACTTCCCAAATACAGCAATTAGATCCTCCAACTGCACCCCATTTGCTTATGTTCTTCCGTTTGCTTATGTTCTTCCGTTTCTCTTCCTAGTACAAGAATGGAGGGCCAATTATAGCCATGCAGGTGGAGAACGAGTACGGCTCCTATGCCCAGGACCAAAATTACATGGCCTACATAAAGCAGGTAAAATGATTCTTCCACCGCTTTTGAACTGAAAAAGAAATGCATTCAGGTTACCTAAAAGCAAAACAAGCACGCGCAAACACACACAAGCACAAGCACACCCAGGAGTTGATACCTCCAAGAATTGACCTGATTATTTTATTTATTTAGCGCGGGAGTCGGCAACCCCCCAGCTCTGGAGCCGCATGTGGCTCTTTCCTCCCTCTGCTGCGGCTCCCTGTCACTCAAAATATGTGTCACAGCCGCCGTTGTGCGACACCCACCAGCATGCAATTTATTGAGCTTGTCAAACTCTAATAGGGCAACCATGGGTAAATCCAAGAAAAGAAAAGTTTCAGGAGAAAACAGAATATTTACTTCCAACTACAAAGGCTAGTTTTGTGGCCACTCAGGAAATAGCCAAACATGGGAAGGGTTTATGTGGCTCCCGGTGTTTTATTTTATGTGAGAAACAGATCCAAATGGCCCTTTGAGTGTTTAAGGCTGCCAACCCCTGATTTAGCGTTAGGCGAAATACATGGACTTATAGTGGTTCAAATGTGTTAATGTCCAAGTCCACCCAGCCATTCAAGGACAGGATGGTCTATGTTGGAAAAAAAAATCAGACATTGGGCCGGTGTAAGCTCTTAATGGGACATTCGGACACAACGTGATGGATATTTTGTCGAGGAGCACCACAGTCACACTGAGGGGTAGAGACGAGACCCCACTTAAACAAGGAGTCCCGGAAGACACCATGCTGGGTGCGGAACTTGTTCAGAGTTCACCAGTGCTGGCGAGGAAGGTCCAAACCCGGCACCTTTTGTGTGTAGGGTCAACTACGTAATTGCCTGTATCTGGGCACTCAGCTGACCATTTGGCTTTCCAGATCAATCAATTGATCTGATTGATCTCATGGGACAGGAGATGGAGTAATATTTATTTAGAATAGCATAGCGTAGCGTAGCATAGCACAGAACAGAACATATATTGGAATATAGAATAGAGTAGAGTAGAACAGAACAGAACAGATATTATAGAGTAGCATAGAACAGAACAGAATAGATTGGGGAATAGAATAGAATAGAATAGAATAGAATAGAATAGAATAGAATAGAATAGAATAGAATAGAATAGA